TCATCTTATCAACTAGCAAAACTTGTTGGTCTGGTTTTAGGTGTCTCTAAACTTGTTGTCTCCTCTTTAGATTTTCATTTGGATTATTATGTACATCAATTTCATTTATTACAGTTCTGTCACAACGCTGGCTCCTGTTGCTGCCTGTTTTATGCATTCATTTTCTATTGGGTGTTATGTTTGATGCCCCTGATCCACAGTGACTGTTTAGCTTTACAGCTTGGAGATGTTTCATGAGGAATGTTGTAAAGCTTAGAGTTAGATGAAATTTGATCCTGTAACATTATTTTGTTAGTTTTAGATGCTGTGCTTCGTGCTCTGAGCTCTTTGATGATTTTATTTCCACAATGTAAGCAAAGAGCAAACACCTTGAAAACAGACTTCTCCTCCAGTATGGTGTCACGCTCCACTATTAAAAGTGTACTAATATAACTAAAGAGAGAAGTACTGTAATCCTAAACAAAGTTCTACAGGGTCACTCACTGCTAAAGTGTTGACTTCTGACTCACTGGTCGAATGCACACATTCATTCATTAAAATACTTTTATGCCAACATTTACATTGTTTTCTTTGTGTTTCACAGACTTTTAGTACAAATCAAATCAAAAATAAAACTCAATTTTAGTTACAGTTTGAGATAATGAAACTATGTAAACTGAGTGTTGAGCGATCCTTCCCTGTTATTTATCTGAAGCTGACAGGAGGCTTCAGCCAACAAATCAAGTTACAAATACAAGTTATTAGTGTGATTTTCTCTCTTTATGTCACAAAGTTAAAGCTGTTTGAGAAAACAACTTTTCTCACTAACAAGCCTCTCTTAACAATCTCTTAATTAAAAGTAAACTCTAATATTAAAAAAGTAACTTTTGATTTCAATTGAAGAAAACAAAATTTTAAAAAGCAATTCCAACCCATGATGGATGGTATTAACCAGAGAGAAGAAAAACAAGTAAAACCTGTTTCATTGTTTGTGTGGCTGAATGACTATCAAATTATAAACTGGGAATAAATTTAAAGCTGTCTTAAT